CTTTGCATCGATCGTGCAGCGCCATTCATAAGGGCCAGCGTGTGAAATGCACTCTCAATTTCAGTGTTGTATTGTAGTACAAAGTTTCTTTATAAAACAAAGTGCAACACTGAGCTTGCCGAGATTTGAGCTATCGAAGGATTCCTGAATTTTTGAGGCAAAAGCGTTGCCCAGTGGAGATGCTTGAGTGAAATAAATCTTATTCTTACTACTATGGCAGATTATGAAATCCGATTGAAAAATGAGAATGCGATTCAAATTCTTGAGATTTAAGCTATCGAATGGTTACCAGATTCTTACAAATAACTAAAACGCGTTTTTCTACAAAGAGCTGAATATGGGTGAGGATAGGGGAAAGAACCGAAAATCAATTCAATATCTATTTTGATCTCTATTTTACATGCCTAGTTTTCCATAGCTATGTGGGAATCTCAGTTCTTCTTCCATTCCATTTCATGGACCCAGCACCCACGTTATTCCTCCATCATTATGCACAAGTAAACGGTCGCTATGAATATCGTTGGATGCTGACCTATTCACACCTTCCTGGAAAACTTATAAAGCAGGATTAGGTGTAACTTTTCCAGACATTCAGAAATCCCAGCATAGAAGTAGTGAAATGCATCTAAGAAACAAAATTTCACTAAATATTGCGTCGACCCATAATTTCTTTCGCACTATCCCTCCGTCGATTTCTATTATTTCAAGTCGCGTTATTGTCAAAGGTATGTTGGAGGATGTCCTATTAGCTTTAGCCATGGGTATAGAAGGGCACTTCTGGCTAGAGCCACCAGGACAAAGCAAAGTAATGCCTTGATGGGCAGCTCATGCATTGACCGTTCATCACCGCGCTTCACGAATGTCCATCTGCGCAAGTCTTCAAGTGCGACCACACAGGCGAGATTTTCTCAAGCCCGTAAAGACATCCTCATTAGCTGACGTAGGGTTGGTGGTAGTAAGAGCAGTAGTATTTCGGCTCATATTTCGAAGACCCACCTTTTTCAGAGCCTTGACTTGCGCTGTATTAGACTGCTTGAATGATTCAGAAGATCTTTTTTAGACCGCCTACTGGTCAAAATATCGAACGTATAAAGGGCGCGAGGACTCGCGTGATGGTGACTCATTTATATTCCCGAACGATTTTTGGATTTATAGCACTTATCCAAGGTTTCTCAAGAATCTTACGCTCTGAAGTTTTTGATTCCCGCGCTATCATCGTAGTAGTCACTTTGAATTCATTATTGCTGTGATTTTGTGCCCTATGAAAACTTGGTTTGCTTTTCAGAGATTAGATTTACTGTCTAGATATTCTTTTATGCGGATGCAGAGTGGTCTATTCTTTTTGCCTACATATTCTCCCGCATGTCTAAGATGTTATTAAATATACTCTGCTCGTTCTCATACAATCCTCTCCCTTTCGTTAGCTCAGATTATACGCACAAGCGATCGTGAAGTCTATTACGAATCGGCTGGTGGAGCATAGTGGCAAGTGGAAACTTGATAACTACCACAGAATTTCCAAGACCAAACCTTTTTAAGCACCTCTTGATCGCGTTACTAATTTCGTTCGACAAAAATGACACCTTGAAAGATCTCATTTAGGCTTGAAGTATTATTGCTTTGAAGCGTACTTCTTCCTTTTGAATTTTTTTGAGCGGCTGATGTTTTGTATCCATTGGAAACGGCTATTTCTCGTGCCAAGTTTAGCGATTCGTTCATTTCTCTCCTGTGCACATTCCTAGCCGTTCGGTACATGTTTTTGATAAGTATTTATAAATAAACTGGAGGGGGCGAATGCGTCACTATCACACGAGACCTCGCCTCCTTTCTTCGTTTGATCTTCTGACTTGGCGTAGGCGGTATAGAAAAAGATCCTCCGAATAATTCAAATAGTCTAATACAACGTACGTCCATGCTCTGAAGACGAGGCTCCGAAATTTTAGCCGAACCACTACTGCTTTTACTACTACCAACGTCGCTTGAACTAATCAAGATAAGTCCTTATGATTCAAATATATCAATTATCAATGTCGAGGTTTATAGAATTCGAACTTCTGAATTATTGCGATATGTACTAGCAAGATATTCTGGACTTGTAAAGGACGTATTATCATTAAGACAAAAAATTGTCTCAATGCGACAAGGGATCTACTTTCTTCGCCGCTGATTAAAATACAAATTTATGTTTAGTTTCATGAAATGCATGAAAATACGCGTATGGCGCTTACCAAAGGGCTCTCCAAAAACACTGGAATCGAAAAAACGATTTCTTCGCATTTCTTTGCGCAGCATACAGAGCGAAAGTCTCTCTTAGATGAACAAATTGTGCCTAAAGAAAATCTATATGGAGAAACGCCCTTGGCGGAGAATTGTAAACGATCGATAGCTCTTCGCAATGTTATTCGACGAAATATCAGAAACATTAAACAAGGGGAGTTTCTAATCTTAAGAGTCTAAAGAAAGATTACAACGTAGAAGCGTCGGTTTTCGCAATAGTACTGATAATTTAAAAATCACGGCGCGTGAAAATCAGAGAGTCACTGTGTTGGGTGGCGTAACGGTTCCTGATAATACGCGGTCATTATTAAAATTGGGTCCAAGTTTCGCACCTAGTCAGCCCATTTGCGAATTAAGCCTGCGCATGATCGTATAGAGCGTGTAAAAAAATCCAAATCAAGTGCGCTACAAGGCTAGATCAGAAAGTTTAAGCATCAAAAGACGGAGAGGGCACCCCCTTTCCGCGAGCTTTCTTCCAAGAGAACAACCAAATGACGAAATCGACCTTGCTTTTCCCGTATTTTTGGACGAAATTCTACGATATTTTGATCACTTTCGGGAATGAAAGATCAAGCTCCAACCTTACACTTAAACTAGAAAAGGGTTAACACATTAGGAAGCTCTTGGGATCAAAATCTATCCGTTTGTCCGTTAGTGATGGAAGGCAGGGATTGTCGAATGAACGGAAAAACTATCCCGGCGTTTCAAACTATCGGCCATTCTCTGCAAAGGAATACAAGCGCCAATATCGAAAATTAAACAAGAAAGGGTCAGCTCGGCAAAGCCGGCGGGTTTAGATATTTCCGCTATCTCTTGAATTAAGAATGATAATTCAAACTGTCGTCCTATTCTTGCTTATAAAAACACATAAATTAACATCTACTGATGATCATGTGCCGACCGATCCATCAACATACAAGGTTAGACCAATCATCAATTGTATGGGCGGATCATCGGATAGGATAACGTAGTTTTTTAACTTTGAATTCAATCAGGTGCCTAAATTCATACAGACCCATCTATCCAACACCGAAGGTTCATAGATCACCTAAGGTGTGGGCAACCAAACAACTCCCACGTAATGGAGTCATTTGATGTTACCTCACTTTATACAAACGTATCAAATGACTCTGCATTGCAAGCCATTTTCGAACTTCTCATGGAACATGAGAAAGAAATAAATATGTTCAGCCTGTCAGCTCAATGACTATAGACGATTGCTCCACTGACTGTTCCACACAAGAGGAAATGGACAAATGTCTTGAACGAACAGTCACAGTTTATGAATCTACGTGAGAAATTTCTAACGGGAGCCGGCTTTGATTCCTAAACATCCAAGTAAAACTATTAGTTAGTGGATATTGTACAAAATGGTGCCGAAAACCAAGTAGCAAAAATATCTGAGTCCGTTACCATTCTTCTCATCCTTCACACATGAAAATAGCGCTTATTAAAAACATGTACCGAATGGCTAGGAATGTGTGCACAGGAGAAGAGTAAATTAACGAATCAGTGAACTTCGCGTGAGAAATAGCCATTTTCAATGGCTGCAAAACATCAGCCACTCGGGCAATTCCGAAAGGTAGACGTAGTTCTTAGAATAACAATATTCTACTGCTAAATAAGATCACTTTCAAAATGTATTTTATAAAACGAAATTAGTAGCGCGATCAAGAGGTGCTCAAAAAGATGTAGTGGTGAAATTTCTTTGAGAGTTGCTGAACTTCCACCTCCCACACCCTGCGCTACTAGCTGGTCCGTGATAGACTTTACGATCGCTTGTGCAACACAATAAACTGCATAATCCACCCTTACGAGAAGGAGAATTGCTCGAGATTGGGCACTATATATTTAATAACATGTAAGACATGTGGGGAAAAATATATAGGCAAAACGAGTAGACCACTTTTCATTCGCATAAAAGAATATCGGATAGTGAAACAGCTAGTAGAGTTGACGTGTATTGTTCCCGAAGTAGCCCACAAATCATCTCGCTGATGATCAGCTCGAGAGAGCCTGCTTATGCGTAACAACAGAAGACTCTGCAAATGGTCATGTGCTGCGCGGTCATGACCGGTCTATGCATAAGGTGTCGTCCATCGACACATCACTTGTGGTAATCTAGTAAGTTTACCCAGGGGCGCACTTTTATATCCCGTGGATAAAGCTACTCAAACATTTTCCAGTATACCATAACCTTTTGCAATGGCACTATTTGATATAGAAAAAGAAACCGAATCAAACCTATAGTGCGAAAGAAGTTATAGGGAAATCCGATAAAAAGAATTCTTTTTATTACATATGTCCAATATCTGTCAGCGAAGGTGGGTTTAGTGCCGATATGTGCTTACCAGGCTAAACCGTTGACGGTTGGTTGCTGACAGATCGATTCTCGCACGCATAGCAGGTAGTGTGACAGCAGAGCAAGAGCCCGGTAGTGCAAGGGATAGCACACAGCCTCGGCAACTATTGTTGGAGAGAAATTATCGCTCTTCCAAATCACTGTGATGCTATGAAAGTTTTCAAAGATCTTCGTTGGAAAGTATTTTCGAAAGTCGACCACATCGTGGACGGTCGTTAACCACATTTTCATCTTGTTGCAGCAATGTTGTCATTTTTTTTGGCTTGTCTTACTCCGAAATTTCAGTATTTTTAATGCTTTTTTCGCAGTGTTATGATGTTACAATATATACCTAAGAGAACTGAGTGGTGAGTAAAAACACGGCCTCAGGGGGAATTGAACCCGCGTTTCATCCATACCGGAGACGCGTGCTCTACCACTACAACCACCGAGGCACATTTGCGCCAGTGGTAGCAGCACGCGTCCTCGGTGTAGATGAAACGCGGGTTCGATTCCTGCCTGAGGCAGTGTTTTTGTTCATCACTCAATTCCCTTGTCTTACTATTAGAGATATAACATGTCTTTCACGGCATTGTAGGCGGAACTGTACTGTACCAGAGCGAACTCAAATTGCCTATGGTTGGCCTGCCACCACGGTTAGAGGGTCCAGCCCTATTGAATCGATTGATCCGGTGGCCTACCATGCACAGTATAATCATTCACTGAATCTCACCGTCAGTGCTGTTCTTTGGAGACTGAAAATGGATGCATACCTGACTCCTTTGCCAAGCCATGCCAGCGCCGCCCAACGTCTACCGTATGAATCAATCGCAATCATTCTCATGGCATTGTTTTGACCTGGTTGCTGTTTGTATGGAATGAGTGCATCACTAACTCTTTGACTTCCAAGGACTCAATCTTTTGAATGTCTAATTGGCAAGCGTGGTCTGTCAGCTCCATCTTCTCTGTCTCTCCAACTTCCACCGATACGGCATATTTCAGTGGAATGGAACACGAGTTCTATCGTGCTTCACGTCACTAGGGATTCACTACTAGAGACTGATTTGGTTGAAGCGACACCTCCATCTAGAAGGCATACTACTTCTTGCTGCATTTCTGGCAATAAGGCTGTTGATGATAGTATGAGTTTACAATCTTGTAAGCGTAGATGATAAATCATTAGACGCTATCCAATATCCAGTCATTCCAGTAAAAAGATACTATGCCCTCTAAATGGAAGTGTTAATTCAACTAAACCAATCTCTAGTAATAAATTCTCAGTGACATAGATAAAGAGCGATAGAAAACGTTCTTCATACCATTGAAGTGTGCTGTATCGAAAGGGGTATGAGACGCGATCAAGGTGGAGCAGACAGTCCACCCTTGCCAGTTAGACACACAGAGGGTTGGGTCCTTAGAAGTCAAAGGAATTGAAGGACAACGCTCAAATTTGAAGGCGGCCATAAGAAGACACTCAAAACGAACGGTATGATATTCAACAAATATCAGCCAAGAGCAATCGAGTGTAAAAACACTGCCTATCTAGTGATTTCCTCTATCTGACGGCACATGTAAATAAAGCGTCCTCTCCCATTCTGGGTAAGGGAGTTGGGTTTCTCCTAAGAAAATTGGGTGAGACGAAGGGTACAGTCCAACTAAAAAGGTTGCCAAGGCCAAAACACGTGTATTTAGCCCTATAAGTGCCATAACAAGCCACATGCATGGCTCAAAAGATGATTATAAGCTTGAAGGACTATTAAATCGGTGCTGAGCCACTAATACCGAATAAAAAAATAAAGGCCGGCTTGGACTAATACGACCAATCTGGTCGATCAACACAGCACTCACAGTACAACCGCACTCGAAGTAACAACTCCATAACAAACACCAATCGGTTCAACGACCAACACAAAGTGCAAATCACTGCGCTCATAGAACGTCAACAATCGTCACTTTGACACTACCAAACCCAGGGACATTCTTTGCAGATCCTCCATTACAATCTCGTTGGCAAAAAAAGTGTAGGTTACAATATTTTTTCTTTTGATTGATGAAATGGGTTATAGCATTTCACAGTCGTTATTCAAAACTATCCGCTACTTTGACTCATCCTAATTTCAATAGACCTCTCCGTAAGTTTTGGCACTAACACAATAAACACCAAATTAATAATCACAAGTAATTAGAATTGCATAATTTTGGACTTGTTCAATTGAGGTTTTTTTGCGAAAATGTTGGTATACAACTTGCATATACTTGCTCCAAGATGGAGCTATCATGAGAATACATTCGCTTGCTATTCATGCACGGAAGGCTCTCTGGGGAGAATGCTAGTGAAGCGGCGCAGTGAAGAACAATGGAGCGTTTTGTGTACGACTCGAGCGTAACTGATATTCCAGACTCTTCTCTCCAGGTCTGAATCCTCTGACCACCTCCTAGCCATCTTTTCTGCAAGCATATCATCGTCTCAAGTTCCATTAATGCGATGCACCGTTCACTACCATTTTCCCCTACGCACCATTCGTGCATGAGTAGCAAGAGAATTTGTTCCCAAGACATCATCTTGAAGCCATTTCAGGCAAGCTGTGTACCAAAATGTTTCAAGAAGATACGCAATTTAACGGTACCGAAGTCGTGTAATTTTTATTTCTTCTGGTCATTATATTTAGTGTATATTACTCTAATGTCAAAACTTTTGGAACAACATGATATAAGAAAATTTTATTTTCTTCGCAGTGGTAAGTGATTTGGTGCATTAGGAAGAAAGATGATAAGCGATGCACTGGTTCGATCAACTCTCTCAGCACTCTTCTATATTCAATCAACTGAGCGCCTGCGAACGGCGTAGCTCGGTTAGCTACAGGAGTGCAAGAAGAATCGTTTCGACCAACATTTTCCGACATACATAAAGGAAACGGAATTCTCAGACTTTGAGCAAAGCATCAGGTGGAATATTCGAGGATCTCTGTGGAGATGAACGCGAAGAAACGGATTGATTACAAGAAGTGCTGAGATCCGCAATGTAAAAATGTAATATCGGGTCCTGTAAGGACATGAAGAAAAAAAGAATTTATTTCTAAGTTATTGATGATATGTAGAAATCATGCTCGATTGATTAGCTGTAGGACAGGATCTGGTTGTATCCCAGCACCGGCGATTTTACGGCAACTTTCTGGTAATTCATCAAAATATCCAGCAACTGCATGCCAATCGGCGATGTCCGTAGCATGCCAATGTATGAACGAACGAACCAATTCGATTGTCCGCGCACTCAGTCCTGACACGCAAACCTAATGCGAAAGAAAAGATGTAATGAAGAAAAGAATATCTAGAAATCTTGCTTCACAGAGCTGTATCAGTGTAATGAGAAGAGAAAAACACTATAATCTGATGTTATTCAAAACTGAATCTAAATTTCGATAAAAATTTAGGTTTTGAACTTTTTCTTACCAAACGCAAAGATTACTGATAAGCCTTTCTTTTCACATTTTCAGATACCAAGACCATTCATCTAGACAACTCAAATCAGCCAATAACTCAACCACTACAATTTTTACCTCTTCCACAATCGGGATCATACACTGTAAATAACACGCTTGAAATGAGCACAACACATTCAATTCATTTTCATATTGATCAAGCTCGGACGATATGAATACCTGAAAAAAAAACCACTCGATACAGGATAATTAAGTTTCGAATCAGATTCTAAATATAAAGTCTTATTCTCAAAAGAATCCACAAAGGATAAAAAGTGAACTAAAACCATGGTCACGCTAGAATGTAAAACCAACTATAAATTTGACAAAAGTCATTTCAATTTAGTCGCAAAATTTTTGTTACGGGAAGTATATATGGGCATTAAATCCGGTTAAGCTATTGAATAAAGTGAAAGTCTTTTTATGTAACCGCTCCAAGCGATGCATAAACTTTTAGATATACCCTCTGATGCAGAGTGATGTGCAAACGTCAGCCGGGACTTAAACTTGCAGCTCACTCTATCCGGGAGCGCGTGCTCTAACCCGTTGCACTACTGACATCCATTTTGCGCACCACTTGTGTGCAGTAGTGCAACGGGATAGAGCACGCGCTCCCGGATAGAGTGAACTGTGGGTTCGAGTCCCAGCTGACGCAAAAGTTTTGCACATCACTCCACATCAAAAGCTATTGGATATACATGTATTGAACTCAGTCAAGCTGACAGCTATAGGATATATATAGAGGGTGCGTAAAGAGTTCTATCAGTTTTGTATTAGGTTGGAAAGGAAATTTTCATTGTTAGGATGGGAATGACTTTTTTCGCATGAATCGTGTGTGATTTTCATATTATTTGAAAGGTCTATTTCTTGCGCATCTATTGATATATGAATTCTGGTCAATCACGATCGAAGCAAACGTTGGACTCTAAAAGGTTAAACACCGCCATCCGCACAGCGCCAAAATCGCTTTAGCAAAAAGGTGATGATTTGCGCTTGGTGGAATTTTGAAGGGATTTTGCAATTTGAACTCGTTCCGAATGGCAAATTCATCAATGCCGACTTCACTGCGAGCAGCTGGACCGAGTTCATGACAGGTTGACCGAGAAGTACCTAGAACTTGTTCGTCGAAAGCGCGCTTTGTTTCAGCAAGACAATACAAAACCAAAGACAGCCAAAAAGACCAAAGCAAAATTTGAAGAATTGGACGAAGTTGAGTTCTCCGCATCCACCTTATAGTCCGGACATTGTTCCATCTGATTACGGCCTTTTCCGATCAATGCAACACTTTTTGGAAGGTCGCCGATTTGAATCTTTTGATGAAGTTGAAGAAGCATATCAAGAGTTCTCTGATTCAAAGCCGAAGGAGTGGTCCTTCGAGCAGATCCGAAACCTGGCGGATCGATGGCAAAAAGTGGTGGATAATGGTGGCCTGTATCTTGAAGAATTGTCGTTGTTGTTTGTTGTCTGAATATATGCACAAATTTCAATGTTTTATCAAACGATGAAAACTTTCTTTCCACCCTAGTATTTTGAAAATGTTAGCACTGATATAATATTTTTCACTAATGCTGATTATTTTATTAAATTCTTTGCTCAGTTTTGGTCTAGAATCTGTTATTTATTTGTCTATTTTCAAGTGTGCTCATATTAAGGATCGTAAAAATCAGCGAGGTCGTAGTAGTTGAGTTGCACAAGATGGGAATAAAACGGCCGACATTGTTGAAATCTGCTGGTTTCAAACATGCAAGTCTCCATGAAGCCGTGAAATGTTTCAAAGAGATTGGAGGGATTGAGGATCAAGGATCTTCCTCGAAATGGTCGTCCAGCCACCTTGCCCACTGCAGAGAGCATTCAGAAAATCTGTTGCCAAGTTGAACGAAATCCGGAGATATCGATGCGCAAAATGGTTTGGGAAGCTCAAGATCAGCTAGCGAAGCGTCCGAAACATTGTCAAAAATAAGCTGAAGCTGCGCAGC